TGATGACAAAAAGATTTCTTACGCGATTCTCATACACCTCGTTATGAACAAAATTGACCCAATGACCAGACGAAAATGGGAGGATCAACTCGATTATGCAATCATTCCACTGTGGAGTGATTGTGAAACAGCCTTGAATCGTAGATATCAACACCTTTCTGCTGAAGAATCAGGCACAGCTGCGTCCGATGGCCCGAAGCCGAGATCCCAAGATTAAGCGCATGTACTTGGAATTCATGGACGAATATTTAATTTTAGGTCACATGTCTAAAATAGTACTCCACACTACTTCATTCCGCATCAGTGTGTTTTAAGACCACAAAGCACATCGACGAAGTTATGAGTTGTTTTCTATGCGACCTGTCCGACATCGTCTCAAATTGCTTTAAATGACCTTCTAATGGTTGGACCGACCATTCAAGAGGAGCTGTACTCGACTCTGCTTCGATTTCGACTCCACAAATATGCGTTGACATCTGACATCAAAAAGATGTATATGCAGGTCATGGTGCACGAATCAGATCGAGATTTCCAGCTCGTAGTGTGGAGAAAGAACCCATCTGACTCTTTGAGGTCCTTCAGGTTAAGTTACGGCACTGTGCCTGCTCCGTTTTTGGCAATACGGTGTTTAACAAAGCTATGTGAGATGAGCGAGTCATCACACCCTAAAGCTGCCGACGTTATCAGGAACGACTTTCATGTCGATGATTTACTAACTGGTGCTGCATGCGTAGAGAACTTAAAGACAATTAAGTCTGCAGTGTCGCAAATACTCAAAAACGCAGGTTTCGAACTAACCAAATGGTTTTCGAATTCTTCTGAGTTCTCCGCAACAAACGCAGATGCCTTTCAATTCAAGATTGACGATTCATTCATGGGTCTTAGAGCGATAAAACGGAACACTCTCTCGGTGACATCGCGGCTATTTGACCCGCTTGACCTGTTAAGCCATCTGATTCTCAAGGCAAAAATTCTACTCCAAGAGCTCTGGCTTCAAAGCGTCGTCTCAAAATCTACTCTGATTCAGTTGCAAGGAATAAAGTTACCATGATACGTGTTTACAGAGCCAACTTCACTGATCGAGATACATGGTTTCGCCGACGCCTCAATAAAAGCGTTTGGCGCATGCGTATATATACGCAGTCATGCTGCAGAAGGTTGTCGTATTTCACAGCTGTTGGACTAGCAGCTATGGTAGACCGACCAGATATCTTGGAAACTATCGATAATTTCTCATCGCATGCCAGGCTGCTGAGAGTGCTTGCTTATGTGTTCCGCTTTATTAAAAAATTTAAAAATTGAGAAGTACAATTTGAGAGTATCCCACGGCGCTCGAAAGGAAAGAAGCTTTCGAGAAAATAGTTGAAGTCGTCCAACGATTTGAATTTAATGATGACACAGATAGAGTTCGAGAGGGCACACGCGTGGGTCATAGTGTCTCAATCCATTTATAGATGAGTATAATGGATCTTGGTGCTCCTTTTCCCTGTTGCGAGTAGGGGGACGACCTGTAAATGCACCTTTCTCATATGATGCCAAGTTTCCGTTACTTTTATTTAGATACCTGCATTTGACGAATTGTCCTGCTGGTCCAAGAGACCTCGTGAGTCTTCTTCGTGAGCGACTTTGGCTAATCAACGCTCAAGAGGTCTGTCGTCAGACAGTGAGATCATGTATCCGTTGCTTTAAATGCAAACTTCGTCTACTAACACAAATTATGGAAAATTTACAAGCAGATCTACTTCTAGTGCTCCGCGCATTTTCTATCTGTGGCGTCGATTTTTGTGGCCCAATTAGCAAGACTTTTCGAATGCGTGGAAAGCCTACGTATAAGTCGTACATAGCACTGATTGTTTGCTTCGCCTCCAAAGCGGTTCATTTACAACTGGTATCTGTCTCATCCACTAATACATTATTAATGGTTTTTCAAAGATTCGTGGGCCGTCGAGGAGTCGCACAGAGTCCATTGCGACAACGCGACGAACTTTGTAGGAGCAAGTCGTGTTCTCGAATCGAGGAAAAGGCGGACACCATTCGATTCGATTTTGCATCAAAAAGCGGATACGAATTTGCGTTCATACCGCCAAGAGCTCCGCCCTTCAGGGTCTGTGGGAGGCAGGTGTGAAGTCTGCAAAGCACCTACTCCTACGGACGGTAGGCAGCCTGCTTGTAATGACAGTGGAAGCCGTCCTTAACTGCATGCCAATGAGAGCAATAAGCGAGGACCCAAGCGATGACGAGGCTCTAACGCCAGGACACATACTGGTGGGAGGCCCATCTAGGGCTCTGTCAGCAAAGGGGACGCCGGACCAGCAGGGTCTCACCTGCTTAAATTGATGGCGAGCTGCCTCGTTGTTCAAAAGTCGTCGTGGGAGAGCTGGTGGTCGTCGCTGAGGACAATCTGCCGCCGAAGCAGTGGCTGATCGGCAGAGTGACGTCAGTGCACGCAGGAGAGGACGGCGTTCTTAGAGTGGCAGACATAAGGACGGCTAGTGGCAGGAAATTTTAAAAGGCCGATCCACAAGTTAGCTCGGCTACCCATGGAATGAAGCCCCCAAGCGCTTCATGGTGGCCGGCACATAAAATTGTGCTCATTTGTATAGACACTTATTGACAGCCAAATGTCCACGTGTTAGTATCCTGAAAACGCTTGCTGATGTGCAGCCGAAATATATCTGAATATATGCTTTCAGGATACCTTCGGGAAGTCGCTGCCCACTCCCAGCTATGAGCAGGGGCATAGCTTGCCGGACAGGCTGAAAAATTTTCCCCCACCGGGTCGGTGATTTCCCCTTACTTTTCTCGTTGTCCTATCTACTTAACACTCTTCTTCTAACTTACATTGCTTTACTTTATTAACAATCTTCATACTTTCTCTTTTTTCCTATTTATTGTATTTTCTTTATTAATATAGCAATTTAAGATTATTTTTAATTTTACTTGAGGACACTTTTTTCCTACTTACAACCTTCTGCTTAGAGGTAGGCTCTAATAGCATCACTGACAAAATTAGCTGTGAAAAGGGGCACAGCTGGCGGGACTGGCAAATAAAACACCTCCATCGGTCGGTGATGCTATTTAGAAAATTGTATTCTTTAACTAGGCTTTTAGCATATAATTCTATTATCTATTGTATAACCTATTGAATAATGAGGAAGACACTCGGTTTGTCGACCATTAATAAATAAATAAAAATAAAAAAAATAAATAAAAAAATAAAACTTAAAGCAGAATTGTCTTCAATTTTTGTTTTTAATAAGCCCCAGACCTGAGACAACTTTACTAAAATTTAATAAATAATTAAATTGAAATAAATAAATTAAAAAATAAATAAATAACAAGTATGGTCAGATTGTGTAGGTTATGTTAGAAAAATCTATTGCGCTGTTCTACATCGTCCTAGTGAAGTTCCAGCAAAATTCAAATCTTTCTGCTCAATTATGGAAATCCGATAAGTTGGCGCTAAAACTTTACCCAAAAAATCTTTGAATCACATTTTCCACCAAGAAGCTTGGGTTCTGAAAATAGTGAAAATTCATTGTTTATTGTTCAAATTCAATTGAGGGGGGTTTCACACTTTGTGGAAATGGTTTACGGCGGTTGACGTTTGGTGCTCAAATTTATTTCCATTTGAGACGTGTTTCACACTTTTTGCAGGCTCCAAGTTCTTTTGTTAAATTGCGTATAATTAGTGGAAAGGTAATATATTAAGTTTTTAGCTCAAAATGTGCCAAGGACAAGGACGTGCAATATCCACTAGTATATATTAGTGTTTAATAATTTAAGATCCAATAACGTCAAACCATTAAAATAATTTTAATTTTTAACTTTATTGAGTAACAAATACCTACTTTAAACTAATATTTTACCTTATATATTTTAATGTTAACTTTCTATTTCACATTTTGTATTTTAATCTACAGTATCGAGCACATGCATACATTGTGCATGTGTTATAGAATTAAATATACTGTAGTATAAATTAGGTCTTGGTTACAGTTTGCTGTAAAGATTTGAAAAATCTTTAATCATAATTTATGAAGTCTCACGCACACTAACAGTGCTATGATTAGATGCTGCATATATTACTTATTATTATAATTTTATAACCTCATACATATGTACCAATGAATATTTATAACATATACTAACTATTAATTATATATTCTGTGTCTAAAGGGATTCGGAAATGTTTTAAATGCCTGACATATGTGTGCATGTACCTGTAAAATATAAATGTTAAAAATTGTGAAATAAAGTTTTGAACATGTAACAACAGCCATAAGCAGACATTTCCGATCCAAATAGATACATACATACGTACATATGTATGCATATGAACAAAAATTAAGTAACTAATGCAAGCCCTACAAATATGTATATATTACAAATACTGGACTACATACACCGCAATTATAAAAATATGCTTAGCCCTCAAAATTTCAAAACTTTTGGACAATACACATAAAAGTTAATCAAAAAGTAGATTATAAAGTATTGGGCCAAAATAAAATATCACTTGCGCAGCGCACAAGCTTCGTTTATTTTTTATACCCTGAACCCATTTAAAATGTGGGTAAAAATGGTATATTGTATGTGTGCAAATTGTAAACGTTTGTAACAGGCAAAAGGAAGCATCTCCGACCTCGTAAAGTATATATATTCTTGATCAGCATCAATAGACGAGTCGATCTAGCCATGTCCGTCTCTCTGTCCGTCCATCCGTCCGAGCATCCATTTGTCAGTCCGTCTGTCCGTATGTAAGGATATCAGAGCCTATAAGAGCTAGAGACTTGAAATTTTAGATGTAGGTCTTCCTAGTGCCTGCGCAGATCGAGTTTGTTTCCGATAATCGATAACTTGCCCCGTTTCCAAGAAATCAATAAAAATCGATATCGACATCCTCTTTTTTGAGCAATTTTGGTAAATAATAAGAGCTAGAGTCACCAAACTTGACATGTAGCTTCTAGAATAGTATATATATTTGCATTTTGTGTTAGAAGTAGAGGGTTCAGGGTATCTCCTAGTCGGGAGCTCCCGACTAGAACCTCTTGTTTGGATTGTGTGTCGTTTAGTTCAGACCAAGTTCGGTTGAACGGGTCATTAAAATGAACTACTGAGCTTATTCAGTAGTTCTTAAATCGCTCATTTAGTTCACTCGTTCAGCTATTCAGTGGGTCATGAATGATGTATACTGTACTCGTTCAGTCGGTCATGAACGATACATTCTTTTGAGATGTTCAGTTCTTAATAAACATAAAAGAAAGCGGGATTTTAATTTCACATATGATTTGACTGCATACTAAGCAGAATTCATCGTTCATGACCGACTGAATAGCTGCACGAGTGAACTAAATGACCGATTTAACAAATAAAACTAAACGCGAAGCTTAAACCATACTCGTTAGCCTCGTATAATGCAGCAAGATTAACAAAATGGGATATGTCAATATCATGCCAGTTTTAAAAATAGTCATTGCTTCCAAATTTAAATAAGTAATTGTGTTCCTTGGTCTTCCCTTAGTTATTGCTTATCTTGTTTGAAAGTTTTTTAAATTTTTATCATGTGTACGGTTCTAACAAATGGGATTATGAGTCTAAGTTATATTCGGTCAAGAAAGCTAACACAAATTAAACAATGTCTCGTTTTCTATTTCGTTCGGATTTGCGCTAGGTCCTTGTTATGCTGTATAAATATTTATATCGATCTTATTGCACCCAAAAATTATTCAAGAATGCACATTCCACCATTTGAAAAGATTATAATCTGTATCTTCTACATTTAATGAACTAGTGTTATAAAATTTAGAAGAAAGACTACTGATAATCTAAGGAGACATATCTTAGGAAGTAGTTTGGCTCGTTTGGACTGAAAACGGACTGCTCCATACAGTACAAGCATTATAATAATGGTTCCCAATTGGCTTCAGTGGATGAATTTCTTTACAAGCTAGAAAAAATTAGAAAAACTAAAAAGACTTAATGTTTAATAATAAAAATTAAAAAGAGGAATTATTTTTGCTGCCTCATTTGGACGATGTCGTTAATGTTGCCGCGTGCATTAGTACTGAAAATAATTTTGTCGTCAATTTCCTTTAAACATAAAGCAAATGGAGGTACTTGCTATGTCGAAAGAGTTGAAACTAGCTGTTAACAATATTGAGTATCTATTTTTCGGCTTACATTTTGACATTGACATTGACTTATACATATGTGCATGAAACAAACTTTTACAAAAAACGTAATAAACCATGTTAATAATTTAAATATGGTCAGGTCAACATTATGTAGGTTATATTAGTATAAAAACGCTATTGCGCTGGTCTACATCGTCCGGCTGAAGTTCCAGCAAACTCCAAATCTTTCTGTTCGATTATGGGAATCCGATCATCGTACAAAGTTGGCGCTTGTAAAATTATTCCAGCTGTACCCGCTAAAACAGCTAATGTAAAGATCCATAAAAAGAGTCTATCCAGCACCATTGCGACATATTTCCAATCTTCTTTAACCTTTTATATAAAATGAATATAGGTTTTACAATAAAAATTATATTTTGTAGTTTCGAATTATTATTTAATTACTTACTTTAGTAGAATCCTCCTGCATTTTTGTATGTTCTGCAATAAATCGTACACAAAAGCAGCTCCGATGAACTCGAGGTGGGCATTTTGAATGAGAGAAGGCGGGGTTGTTTAATATTGGGCTCTTCATTCCCGAATTTCCAGAATCTACATCAGGAACAGCTGTTAAGTCGTCTGAACTAGAATGCGTAATTTGGGGCAATGGTCCATGAACTTGACAGCTGCCACCGAAAGGTCCCGTGCCGGTTAAACTATATTTTTTAATAAATAAAATAAAAAAGCTAGTTTTATAATTAAGATATATAAAAGCTTTTGATAGGAATTTTTATCAGCAATAATTAAGCTTATTAACATGAACTCATCTTGTTCATTTTCCAGTTTTTCACCCAAATTGACTAATGTGGCAAATTGGCTTATTTAAGCTATTGTGCAAGCGTATGTTGTTTTGAATTTGAACTACAAAACAAATATAAAATTAAGCAAATTAAAAAAAATATTCCTTTATATTTTTTTGATCAATCTATTTACGGTGATGTAACTTAATTATATTGCGTATTTTATATAATATAATGAATAAAAAGTTGCCGATAACGCAGCGGTAGCACAATTGAAAGTTGTCGCCCGTTAATCATACTACTTGACGATGAGTTTTCGATAAATAACCGGCGGTGACTTAGCGTCGATTTTTAGTAGTTGGTATCGGAATAGGAATCGGTCACTTTTAAATGCATTTAGTTATGTTTTTATGCACGATACCAAATAAATTTAAATGTAGAATTGCAAAATATTAAAGTATTTACTGTCCATATTCATTTGCTTTTGAATTTTAATTTATAATAATGGTAAACCAGGTGGTTGTAAAATTAGGTTTCCACCATTTTTTAAATATCTTAATTTAGGGATAATGGCCCCGAAAACCGCATATACACGATTAAAGCCTATAGTTTCACCTAACCAATCTTGAAAAAATTGTAACAATCGATCAGCCCGTTTTAAAAATATATGTACAACATAGGAGCAGCCCCGTTGCTAGTCCCATACAGAACGACTGTAAAAAATTACCCTTGCACTTGAATCCTAATATCTTTTCTCAGGGATAATGGCCCTCAATGAACGGTATACCAACTTGAAGAAACATGTTAAAGAAAGCTTTACGCATTAATTCTAAACAAAGCGATAAACCAGTTTTTTAGAAAAATAATTAAATGTAAACACACTTCATGTTTTTCATTCAAAAGGCCTATCGAACTACTAGCTCCAACGGGAAACGAACCACTGCTCGGAATCAGTGTTGAACAATGTTTACAGTATTGAGCGGGAGCAAGATTATTCAAAATATTTGTATATGGAAAAGAAATGCGGTGATAAAGGAAATAATTGGCATTTTACAATAAAACATAACTTTGTGTTATGATTGACTTTAATTTAAGCTACTATCGATATATATATATTCTTAGCATGTAAGTTATCGCCCGACTGAATTGCGATCTCTAGCATCTCTCTCTTATGATGAAATAGCTGAACACGAGTATTGTGAAATTACCCAATTTAAATAAAGACGAATTAAGAACACAAAAGTGGTGTCAGAAGTGGTCAAAATGAGCATTACTATCGACCAACTACGAGATGTCATCAGTTCACTGACTAGCGCCATTCAGTCAGCAGTGCAACAAGCAGGTCAAAATGCATGTGGGGCAGCAATCTCTACGAAAATACCGCCGTTTGCAATGCCAAACTTCAAGGGCGGAGAAGACTACAGTGCAAGTTTACTTCCAACGATTCGAATGTGCACTGCAACTGAGTAAAATTCCATATGCCCCCATTATGCAACGGTGCATATTTTATTTATTTATTAATGGTCACCAACCGAGTGTCTTCCTTATTATTCAATAGGGTATACAATAGAAAATAGAATTATATGCTAAAAGCCTAGTTAAAGAATACAATTTTCTAAATAGCATCACCGACCGATGGAGGTGTTTTATTTGCCAGTCCGGCCAGCTGTACCCCTTTTCACAGCTATTTATGTCAGTGACGCTATTATAGCCTACATCTAAGCAGAAGGTTGTTAGTAGGAAAAAAGTGTTCTTAAGTAAAATTAAAAATAATCTTAATTTGATATATTAATAAAGAAAATACAATAAATAGGAAAAAAGAAAGTAAGAAGATTGTTAATAAAGTAAAGCAATGTAAGTTAGATAAAGTGTGTTACGTAGATAGGACAAAGAGAAAAGTAATGGGAAATCACCGACCCGATGGGGGAAAATTTTTTCAGCCTGTCCGGCAAGCTATGCCCCTACTCAAAGCTGGGAATGGTCAGCGATTTCCCGAAGGTATCCTGAAAGCAACGATTTTATTAGGGGTAGAGAAAGTTCGGTAGAGAAAACGTGAAAACTTTTATAATTTTTATATAGCACGCGAAAAGGATTGTGACCAGATGCAAGAGCAGTATTTAAGGATAGGGCGATATTCAATAGGGCGAGATGTACAGAATTTTTGTTTTAAAAGGACGGTAAAATGTTTAGACCATCGTTTAATGAATCCAAGTACACCTTTTGCCTCATTAACGATGGTATCTATGTGAAGATTGAAACAGAGTTTAGAATCAAAAATAACATCTAGATCCTTTATTGTTAGTATACGTTGTAAAGGGATATTGTCGATTGTATAACTGACAAGATAAGGTGTAGTACGATTAAATGTCATAAACATACACTTTGAACAATTTAGATGCAATTGATTGGCCGAACACCAAAGTTGTATAGCGTTCAAATCGTCTTGTAGATGAGAATGATGTAGGGGATTAGTGTATGATAGAAAAAGTTTGACATCGTCCGCATACATGAGTATGGCTTGTGATATAACAGAGGGGAGATCATTTATAAAAAGTGTAAAGAGTAAAGGTCCAAGATGACTACCTTGAGGAACACCAGAAACACCAGTGTAAATGACATCAGTTTTCATTTTCGAAAGGAAAGCATCATTTACCAAGGAAGCAAACTCAAGCAGATTGGTCGTAGTTGACCGAATCTTTACGAATCCATGTTGAACAGGGGAAACAACAGATTTGCAGAAATGCTGCAAATTCGAAGTGATTATTTTTTCAAATAATTGAGGAATAGCGGACAGTTTTGCAATGCCCCTGTAGTTGTCGAAGGTATTGACTTAGGAATACACACATCTAAGAGGGGTTTAGGGTGATATAAAAAAAATGAATGGCAGTATTCATATCAACCGAGTCATATAAGAAAGACCAATCGGTTGCATCAATAAGCTGATTCAGCAATGAATAATTTCCTTTGCGATAGCAACGGCGGCGCTTATTGGCTGATGAGCACGAAATGAAAGGAGGTAACTTGAATATCGGAAGAAGGAGGGATATGAGAGCATGTTATATACATATTCCGTGTAGGAAAAGACACCTTAACTGAGACAATCTCAACGTCAGTAGGCGTACTAAAACAGAAAAGTTCTGACTGGAGACTGGCTTTAACGGCAATTAACACTCCACCACCTCGAGTCGGCCGATCATTTCTATACAAAATAAAGTTATTCGATAAAACTTCAAAATCAGATATGGTTGAATTTAACCATGTTTCTAAAAATGCTATTATATCCGCATCGAAGGAAGTCCTGGCTATGAAAAGATTTTTATGCTTTGAAATGAGACCTCTAACATTCTGATAATGAATAAAGATTTGGTCAGAAGATGAAGCTAGTTTTTTGGGGCAGAAATGGTACCTTCTATTGAAGGGACTGGAAGGGTGACAGGCTGGTTACGCATTTTAGGCTTGAACTCGTGAACAATCATGTGTGAAGCCCAAAATTTGGGATCACAAATGATTGGGAACATATTATATAAAACATTTATTTTGAATGATGATATTTGGTTATTGACACGCTAGCAGAAGATTTGCCAGCAATATAGGTTGCCAATGACTCAGAAGTGGTGTCCGCCGAAGGCCGAGACACAAAGGGGTAATTGGACAGTCGCTTGGGGATGCGATAAAGACAACATTGGAGATACATCCAAGTTGCTAAGAAGGGACAAGAATATATTATATTTGCCAAGCAACTCGAAACTCGTGTCAAAATTACTCGAGAGCTACTTAACCACATTATTCAATTTTAAAAATTGATTTCTCACAGAATTATACTCTCACAGTACGACATAATTATTAAATGCGTATGCAAGATGCGAGAGCGCAAAGCAAAACGAAAACGGTGCACAAGATAGAGCAAGTAAACACTCATAAAACAATTATTCGTACACAAGCAAATTGTTTGGAGCGAAAAGCAATCAAAAAATTGTTGCGAGAGCGCGATGCACAAGCAGAAAGTATGCAGCGAACACACGCACAAACAAGTGTATGCATAGGGGAGCACCAAAGCAAAAGAATCAAAACAGGCAATAACAACAACAAGGAACTGACACCGCGTTTTATAAATGTAATAATTAACAGACTTACGCTGCACAACAGATAACACTTTGCACAATTTATAAAAGCTTTTTAAATATAGCACCGAAAAATGCAAAATTTTGAAAAAGAAAGGCAGGATTAAAGCGCAAAAATATATAAAAATCTTGGAGCACAAGTAAAACACGTCAATCAACTCTCAACTGAGAACTCTCTCTGATGGATGATACCGAGGTTGCACACACAGCGCTACGTATTCTGATAAGTCCGAGGCAACCAGCGACAGTACAATTCAGCGAGATTAAGGAAGTGCTAATTAATCACTTCGATGGCAAACGAAACAAATGTTTATTGTTGCGTAAATACGCAGACAGTTTTAAAATTCCGCCAACTACACCAGGAGCCAGAGGAGTCCCTATCAGCGTTTGTTTTACGCTTAAAACAGGCAGCATCATTTTGCAAGTACGACTCGTTTGTAGACAGAATGCTTACAGAACAAATGCTTTTCGGCATGCAAAATCACAGCACTTGCGATGAGGTAATCGCAAAACAGCCAACAACCTTTGCAGACGCTTACGAGGCTGCATATTCCAGGGAATTGTTACTACGATCAACAAAAACGGTTAATGGCAACCAAGCTGCAGATACAGAGCCTACATGCAAACTGGTTTCTCGCCAATCAAGAGGAAGTCGGCAAGCAGAGTGAAGCAGGCAAGCAATTGATACGGATGTGGACGCCAACACGCAAAGATTGCAAATTCAAAAACGAGAAATGCTACGTGGGTGGTAAGGTAGGGTATCTAAAAACGAGTTGATTACTCAGAATGGACATC